TGTGTTTACCATCGGGTGTCACTGATGGCTTCTGGGAAGAAACCGTAGCCAGGGGCAGGCGTGGGAAAGAGATCTGCAAACTGTTGGCCCCTTTGTACTTTTAAACTTTTGAACTGTGAGGCAGTATTAGCTAATTATTTTGAAAATAAATAAAATTTAAATTTTTAAGAGAAAGAATTTAAAAACATGTCCCTCATTGATAAAATAAGGGAGACACAGCCCTCAGACTACTATTAAGTGCCACACCATCTATTTCAGGTTGTGGACATGCTGTTCTTGAAGCAAACACTGTATGTGGTCTGCATTTTATCAAACTCCGCGAAGCTCTGAGTGAGTACCATTTCTTAGCATAATTTAATACTTTAATATTTTCCATAAAATACATAGATAATAGATAATACATACATACACAGTTATAAAATACTCATAACTTGAACACTATGTAACCGCTACCCAAGTCAGAAAATACAACACTGCCTGTACCCAAGAACCTTCCATATGTCCCCCTGGGATCACACCTTCTCACTCCTCCCAGGAACAACCACTCTCTTGATTTCAGGAATAAGAAATGTGTCTTTCTTATCTCCTATGTGTATATCCCCAGTCAATACTGTTCAGCTTTGCACATTTTGAAACTTTTTCAAAAAACTGAATCATTCTGCACATATTACTGAGTGCTTCTTCTGCCCCAAACTACATTTTTAAAACTTGTGGGAGGCCCTCTGCCAGGGAAGGCGCCTTGGCTCTCCTTTAAGTCATGTTGACTGAACCCAAGGCGTGGGCATAGCCCTTCCTTGGGGACATTTCTGGCCAAAAGGTGAGAATGCCTTCAGCTCAACTCTTCAAAGCCTAGGTGTGGGGAATGGGTTTTTATAATGTAAATCCAGTCAAGCACCAGGAATACCTCCCTTATCTTGAGTTTTGGTGAAACCTCCTGATATTTTGGGGAATTTGGACTATAAAATAAACACACTGCTTTGGGACTTGGTCTCTCTGCCTCTCTGCCAGAAGAGGACAGAAGCCCACCCAGACCCAGCTTTTCTATTTCTGCGTCTGTCTTTCATTTCTCAATCCCAAAAGCGCCTCTACTTGAAAGAACCGGTTCGCGCTCTCTCTCTGTGCTGGATGCCCTGACACAAAAACTCATCCATGTTGTTGCATATCGCTGTAGCTTTGTTAGATAGTATTCGGGGGACGGCAGGAATAAATGGAATAAATGGACCACAATTTACTTACCCATGAAAATATTCACGGATACATTAATGAGGTGGCTTTTGTTTTGTCCCCATTGTCTAAACAAAAGACAAGTCCACAGACATAACATGACATTCAAGGAAACCATTGCCCCAAAATGTGTTTCCAAAACACCTAGCCAGTCTCATTTTCCCACTTTTCTCTACCAACCCGTGTGCCATCACATCAGTTTAGCAATACTGATTGAAGTATCAGGTACAGTTCCTAAGAGCTGGAAGGCTGCTGACCATGTACTAGATCTACCCAAAACATTCCTGTCCATCAAGATCTGGCCCAGGCACGATCTCCTCATGAAGACCCCACAACTTCTTCTTGTCCACAATGCCACCACTCCCCTGGAACTGCATCAGGATAACCTATCCTTTCTCTGACTCTTTTTTAAAAATATATTTGTATTGATTTCAGAGAGGAAGGGAGAGGGAGAGAGAGACAGAAACATCAATGATGAGAGAGAATCATCGATTGGCTGCCAAATGCCCCACACTAGGGATCAAACCCACAACCCGGCCATGTGCCCTGACCAGGAATCAAACCGTGACCTCCTGGTTCATAGGTTGATGCTCAACCACTGAGCCACACCGGCTGGGCCTTTCTCTGACTCTTCTAACACAATTGCTTCACACAGTCTTGAGTTATACCCGTTTGTTAAGGCCATACCTCAATGTTGGTTTTTGTAGTTCACAGTACTAAAATCTTGCAGATAATGGGCAGGCAATATATGTTAGAGCTTTTGAACTCAAACCCAAAATCCTGAAAGCTACTGCTGGTACCAGGTATTAAATCATTCAAAAATATATGTTTGAAAAGTTAGTTTCCACAAAAATGAAATAATTAAATACTAATTAAAGTAGAAACAACATCACTCTTGCTTAAGATAAGATATGGGTTCCTCATATTTCTAACCTTGATCTTTTTGTTTTTCTCATTAAAAATATAGAGCTTTAGAGTGACTGGGACACAGAATGTTTTAACATCATCATTTAAGATCACTTGATAAGAAGTACACTACTTATGTCCTAACTAGTTTGGCTCAGTGGATAGAGCGTTGGCCCGAGGACTGAAGGATCCTGGGTTCAATTCCAGTCAAAAGCATGTACCTAGGTTGCAGGCTCAATCCCCGGCTCTGGTTGGGACTCGGGTGGGAGGCAACCCCAATCAATGTGTCTCTCTCACATCTATGTTTCTCTCTCTCTCCCTCTCTTTCTTTCTATCTCTCTTCCCCCTCCCTTACACCCTCTCGAAAAATCAATGAACAAATATTCTCAAGTGAGAATTAACAACAACAACAAAAATTACACTATTTAAAGGAAATGATGTCCTCAAAAAGTGTTTAACCCCAGAAACAACAAAGGGGAAAAGTCCAAAATTTTAATGAAATTAATAAATGAGTCAGAAATTCCAGTTAACAAATATTTCATAATTTAAAAAGCGATACTATTATTTTTCTATCAAAGAAAATACATGCATGGAATGTAGACACTGCAAACCGGAAAGAAATAAAAGAGATGATCAAAGATATAAATGGGTTGAAGGCCTGGTCATTGTTTGCCTCTCCAAAGAACTCATAAAACCAAATGGATAGAAGACATCACTCGAATAATGCCAAATACGCCTTCAATTATTTTATGCAGAAGTCATTCTTTTCAATAGAGGTTATACAGAATACATCATAGGAAAAAATGTTTGCAACTCATATTATAGAAATCAGGCTAAAATCCTTAATATAAAAAGAGTTCCTACAAATCAATAGGAAAAAGCCCAATGGCTCAACTAAAAATATGGATAAAAGTTATTTATAAACAGATAATGCAAAGAAAAAATAATTATAATGACCCTTGAACACAGGAAAAATACTCAACCCCAGAGAAATAAAAATTGAAGACCATAGTGGGATACCCTTTTTTACCTATCTGATTTGCAATCCAAAAGTTTGAGAAAATGCTGTTGGCAAGGGTAGAGAGAAACAAGCAGTCATACACATTGCTGGTTGAAGTATAAATTGGTAGAACTCCAAGGAAGCCTAATAATTTAGTGATATCCATCAAAATTACAAGTGCATGTCCCCTGTGATCCAACAATCCCACTTCTGGGAATTTATCCTACATAAGTACTTGCATATATGCAAAATAGTGCATGTACAAAGCCATTACATATAACACTGAGATAGCAAAAGTTTAGAAACAACCTTAGTTCATCAGTAGGACACAGGTTAAATAATCAGGGACATCCTTACAATGGAATTCTATGCAGCTGAAAAAGAACAAGGAAGTGATCACCAAGACACACTAAGAAGAGGAATAGCACAGGCAGTATTCTTCAATTTGGGTAGAATATTGAGTATCTGCTGAAATATGCATTATCTGGAAAGATACAAGGAAACAGGTAACATTGGTTGCCTCTGGGAGGAAACTGGGTAGCCAGAGACAGGCATGGGAAAGAAATTTTCAAAATGTCTATCCTCTTGTACCATCAAACTTTTGAACTATAAGACTATTACCTATTTTTAATAAATAAAATTTAAAAATAAGGAAAATGATTTTAAAAATATGTTCCACATTGGAAAAATGAGTGAGGCACAACCCACCTAGCGTAACACAACATATTCTCCTTATTTTGAGTGCTCACATAACTTCACAACAGGATAAAGAAATTTGGAAAAAACTCTAGAAATACTGATAGCAAAGAGACCCAAAGCCAAGTTAATTCACATTCAGGGGCCCTGATAAGATACAGCAAGTTTTTAGGGAAAGCCAGGACTAGCACAGATCTGTAAGAAAAAATCTTTGAGTTGCTCGATTCACCTAGAAAACAGCAGGCTACGTATGTATGACTTGCGCACTTATTTCCTAACTTTAAGGTTAAGAAATCTATGCCCTATAACAATATATCTGTTACCTAAGCCCTGCTTAATCTGCACGGTGTGGGTCATGCTTGTTATGAGGACAGGGTTGCAAACAAAGGCGGCTTTTCTCCGCCCTCCATCAGATGATGGAGCTGCCTTTCAAGGAAGGAGCCAGACACTTCCCCCGTCCTTGCCGGTGATGGGGGTCTATATGGAGGGACAAACCTGTTGATGAGGGGCTTGTCACAGCCATTCCTATGTATTCTCTCTGTACTTCACCTAAAAATATGCCTGTTTTCCTCACTGTGTACACCTCCCGGGTGGGGGTGTATATAATCCATCTGGCTGCCTCCTGTTTTCTCCTGGGGGAGTAAAGACAGTAAACCCAACCCTCCCGGGAAGGGAAAAACAAATCATTCAGTGCCCACCTCAGGTGGCAGTCTGGGGCATGTACCTAAGCTGGTCCAGATATGCCTGCTGGGGGTGCAAGAACGAATACAAGTTCAAGCACGATTGCTCGGGCATGCTTTGGGGGAACAGGTCAAAACCTGCGAGTTTTAGAAAGCAGAAGCCCAAGTTACGGAGTATGCCGGGCACACCTACAGGTACAGGTGCAGGCGGGTCAGCCAACGACCTGGCCTGTGAGACAGGACACACACACACACACACACACACACACACACACACACACACAGGATGACAATTGTTTACAGGCAGTGCCTCTGGAGCAGAGTTGAAGTGGGTGTCTACCTGCTCAGCAAGGTGACCAAGAAAGTGGGGCAAGGCTGACACTTCTTACTCCGCAGTGTCCAGCGCGCACCCCCACCCCAAGCGCCCTAAGGTCGGCTGCCCTCCTGGACGCCCCCTAACCCCACACACACCCGCCCTGACCCCGAGGTCTCACCAGAACAGCAGGTTGGCCCCGGCGAAGCCGAGCACGGTGCGCAGCGGCCTCTTCCAGCTCAGGAGCTCCTTGGCGCAGCAGCCCAGCCACAGCCCGGGCTCCCCCAGCAGCCAGGTCACCGCGGCGGCCACCTCGCCGGCGGCCTCCTCCACCTGCCGCCCCGCGGCCGCCGCCGCCGCCCCTTCCTCCGGCGCTTCCTCCCCCCGCTCCCCGGGGGGAGCCCGGGGCGGCGGCTCCTGCTCCCCGGCAGCCCGAGCCGGGCATCCTTCCTGGGCGGGCTCCGGAGGCGCCGGGCTCGCCATCTTCAGCGGCGCTGGCAGGCGGGCACGGGCACGCGCGGGCGCGTCGGGGTGTCGGCTCCGAGAGGGCGGCGGGTCCGACACGGGGCGCGCACCGCGGGGCGCCGAGCTGGGTGCCTTGTGACGTCAGCCCGGCCGCGACTGGGGCGCCTTCAGGGGAAGTGGGTGCGGCCAAGTTCGCGCAGGGCGGGGCTGGGCGGCGGGCGCCGTGGGAGCGAGCGAGCTGGGCGGGGTCCCGGGGACCCAGGGAGCGTGACCCCCTTTTCCCTTCCGGCTGCGGAGGGGCGGAGAGGAGCCCCTCCCGGTTACTGATCTAAAAAGGAGGCAGGGCTCCGGCAGCAGCAGTTGGACATCTGAACTTTCTCGAGCCGGGGCCCCCTTCGCGCATCCTGCAGCCTTGGTGGGTGAGCGGGTCTCAGCCTCCGGGACCCCCTGACCCAGCGCGTCCTCAGGGACAGCCGACCCAGGCACAGCAAAAGTCTGTAGTCCTCTGCGAACACCGCAATAATATAAATGTTGGATTGAGAAAGGAAGAAAAAAACATGTGGCTCAACTAAAGAGCATCTTGCCCTCTCTTTTTTGCGATTCGCGTAACACCAGACCCCAGCAATTGGGGCGGGAGGTGGGGGG